AAATGAGAAGTATCGTAAACCTCGAATTTAAGTTAAAATACTTTTTAAATGGTTTGCTGAATCGGTAAACATGACAGGAACCTCGTTGGAGAAAGAAATGTCACATAACAAAGGTTAGAAGAAGCACAAGTGACGACCTTGTCGAACGAAGCTAACAATATGCTGCCAAATTTCGGTTAAATCTCGCGTGCAAAACAAAGCAAATCCGACGCGTAATGGATCACCGTAAGCACTGTGAGTATTTACCTGACTTTTAGACAGAGGACGCTGAGCCGATACATCATTTGCCATCATATGGATTTTGGCAGTTACATGCTCGCACAGAAACAACAATGGGGCAAACGGTAGGACGTATGCCTCACTCATGGATCGATTTATTGGAGGAAAAGGATCGTGTTTTGTATTGGAGTGGCGAGGTGCTATCGAGAGTAGCCGACAACGTAAATCAAGAAGAATCGTTTCTGATCGACTACGGTAATGAGAGCATCGACAAAAAGGTCGACTCGTGGATGGAATCGAATCAAGCGCGGATCGACAGGATTTTCAGTAAACACCCAGACTTGCCGGAAGCGTATAAAATAAAAATAGCGAACGAACTCGAGCAAGTAATTACTATTTTCATTTTTATTTCTACATATATTGTTCGACCGTGCAGTCGCGGCTGATATTCACGATTACTTATACAAAATCGCGATCGATTTTTATATTCCTCTGTAAATGGTTTGTGTTCACGTAGAATAAACGACACGATATTTAAATCGTATACAGAGCAAGAAATACAGATATAATGTTGTATCGTGTCCGAGTATTAATGTGAATAACTGTAAACAGACGCGATAATTTCCGTGTTAATTTCAACAACTTTCTAGGGAATTTTATTAACCGTTAAGGGGAAGTGGTGGAATTTTATTCGTAACACAAGTAAAATACCAAATATGACAAAATAATGTTGTATAATTGCGTCTAGATAACGGGAGAGTTGACGATGCAAATGAGAAACGACTATTACCACGGCTACAAGGACACTGTGAAGTTTACGAAAAAAGTAGATTTGCTAGGAGAAAGACAGCGTAGGATACATGCGAAGATCCAGAACCTTGAGAACACTTGCCACGGGAGCGTGAAAGAATTTCGAAGAAAATTCGGCCCGCTCCGAGCGAAGACGTTCAAGAACCTTAGAATAGGGGAAAAGATGATATTCCAAGACAAGAAACTGAAGTCACAGTTCGCTAAACGGGTATGCAAACTTTCATTTCGATTCTATTATTATTCTTTCCGAACAACGATAATTCTATCATTCTTCTCATTGCTGTAATTAGGTGCACGATATCGATCATAAGAACGTGGAAGAGTGTGCCAAGTGTATCGATAAATTAATAAAGATCATTGAAAAAGCGGCGCTTACACAACAATGATGATAATAAAACGGTAAATAAATGATAATAAAAATACGGATTAATTTAGCGGACTTAGGTATAGGATAACATTGTAAAAATAACGAAATCGGGACAAATAAATGTAAAACGAACAAAATGAAGACAAATAAATGTAAAACTAGCGGAGTGAAGACAAATAAATGTAAAACAAACAAAATGCAGACAAATAAACGTAATTATACATATATATAAATTTATTTATTTATTTATTTATATATAAGTATATCTGGTATCGACGGTGCCATAAACATGCCCGTATTATCGATTCTTGTTTCATATTGTATTAGCTATACGTAGACAATAGACGATCGATACGATCTCAAATTACTGGCTGCGTTTCCGCTATCATACGTATTAAGTCATCCCCGACTCCTTCCGTTCGTTGCTTTAGGAAACGTCACATTTCTCACCGAGCGCAAATTTGCATTAATTGACTTTTGACAACAAGAGAATCGAATTGCCTAAATGATTATCTGACAGATGAAATATGTCAAAAAAAATACCACGGTAATTATTGTTACGCGTCACAAAGACCATCTAAGAAAGATCGATTGTCGGAAGATCATTTATACTTTGAACTTGCTTATGCATCATATTTCCACGTGTCTGTAGAGAAACTAATATGAACGTGATAGACGATGATCTAGAGTCTAGTTCTAGATTCTAGGCAAAGAAAACAAACAATTCCCCTAGGAACAGGGTTGATAAGCTTAGGCTTCCATCACATACATACAATTGTAAGTTTATTTGACATGTCGACAGCATATTGCACGAATATTGTACGTTTCTGCACTTTCAGCATTTTCGAGAAAAACGGTTTGAAGAATTCAATAGTACTTTATAATCAAAGAAATTCTGCGTTATACTCGTCTTTATGAATGCTCTTACGAAATTGATTATCATGCATCGATCGTCTTTAGGAACACAAAATGACGAGAGCGAATCATAGTTCATGAAAATATCTCTACACATATTAAATATGATAAAGAAATATATTATTCTTGAGAAATTCACGAAGTAGATATAAACGTGATTTTTATACAACATGGAGAAACAGTAAATAACTATTTGTCGCGTGTAAAAAGTCTGCCAAATATGGCCATACGATATTTATGCAGTAAACCATCGATATTTTAAATCGGCGAATAAATCGATTCGCTGCTCATTAATAAATCTATTGAAATGATTAAAATGGAACGGATATTATCTAAAATGAATATTGACTAATACCGACGATTAAAATAAAATGAATACGGAATAAAATATTCTGGACAATAAAAACGATTAGATAACATTGTAAAATAAAAAATGCGCAATTAAATGTACGATGACGTATTATCATTTCTACAAATACATAATCCAATGCAATCCATAGGATAAAACGTATAAAACTACCGTACTAGTTAACCTGTCAACTGAGACATATACCCCAGTTAAATTATTAGCACGAGTATTTTCTTATATCTGTTGTTAAACGTACGTATTCACGTACTTTTATATTTGATAAATTTAAAAACGATTCGCAACTCGTTTATTTATAAATTGATATATGCATACCTTCTAATATCAAAAAATTTCATGAAATATAATTTACTTTAGGTAGTCGTAATATAATTTACACCGGGGAATAACACTTTGAAAATATACGAGAAAACAATAAAAGAAATAAAAGGAGAGAAAAATATTGAAATATCAATGACATCAAGGTTGTTCGGATAGACTCTTATGGAGACACTGGCTACCAGGGGAACAGAATGCACAAGATGGTAACATTTGCAGGGCTGTACTTGAGCATCTTTGTACGAATGTCTATCGGTAATTAGAGAAACTTCTGCTATATGTTTATGTAGGAAATTCATATGTTTAACCCTTTTACTGCTGAAACCGTAATAACACGTTTTGTGAAATACACGTTCGCTATGTTGCGCTCGTGAATTTACAGATTCCATGTAGCGTATTATTAATCGAGTTTTTCTCGCGAGTATACAAATCATTTAACGTCTGTTCGAATTAATTTCGTGCGAGGAAAGTGATTTTCAATTCCAGGATATCTGGATATTGATATTTACAGATTGCCTAAAGTAAAAATTATATTAAATTAAACTCAATTAATAATTACAAAATTTATTCAGCACAGAGCGTCTCGTCGTAGGAATATATACGTATTTAGTATTCAACAATACCGAAATAAGTTAAACGCTACTAGCCATAAGCGAAAAACTTATGTGTTTTCAGAAGTTTTAGTAGTTAGTATACATACGTTTCGAGAAACGTCCGTAGAACGTTAATAATGCCTTTGAAGTGTACTGTTTTCTAAAGATTGTAACGAAAACTTGACATAGCTCCAGTAAAATTATCAATGGTGACTGACTGAAATAGTTACATACCTGAGCAGAATTCGCGCGGGAATCTTCGACTAGACGTATCGTTCGAAGTCCACATCTTGACGGTCGTCAGGCAGCATGCATCTTCCCCTTGTCAAGCATCGCCGAAAACCGTCGTGTTTGGAGCACTTTTACACGAGCTACTTTTTTACACTTTACACGAATGACACACTATTGCTAAAACCACGACGCCGCGGTAGCAACGACGGTCGCTAACAACCGGACACTATCAGGAAATCAGAAGACTCGAGGAGTCATTTCTTCTTCATCATCGGAGTTGCATCTAGCTCCATCTGTGAACAAGAGCTTTAATCATTACTTGTACAAGAGAATCGATGAAAATAAACTCCATTACCATTCTATGATATTAAAAATCAAATGATATTAAAAATCACCGATACAAGTTTACTTTACAATAAGCTTTGGTAATTATGATAATTATTATATTAATGTATATAAAATAAATACTGTATATGTCGTATTTATATTAATTTAATCTAGAATTTGATTTCTCCTAAAAGTATTTCATTTAAGAATAAATAAATTAAATTAATACTTTTGAGAGAAAAATAAATATATTTCTAGTGTTTAGAAAAATAACCATGTCTTCCACAACCTTCAATAGCCGTGATCGTCTAGTGGTTAGGACCCTACGTTGTGGCCGTAGTAACCCAGGTTCGAATCCTGGTCACGGCAATGTGTAAAACATTGTCACGGTGAAGGTTTTTTTTTATATATTTCCTTTCATTGATTACAACACTTTATATGTATTCGTTCAACAGATATAATTTTCTATAACTTTAATCTTTATAATATTTTCTTTTCTTAATACTTTAATTTTTTTTTCAAATGTAATGTGATGAAATACAAACTTGAGAAGATAATAACTTTTGCGATAAACAATAATAAATTGAACAAAGCAAAAGATAATGATTTCATATAAAAAATCTACATAAAAGTATGCATGTTACATGAATCATTATTACTCAATTGTTTAAGATCTGATGTAATTCCTACAACTGTGTATATTAATGTAAGCATTTATGTTATGATAAAGGAAAAGAATTGTTTATAAAACGTCAGCAAATTTTCTCTTGCAAAATCAATAAATGTCAGGTAAAACCACATCAGATTCCAGTGCATAATCTGCGCTTCAAAGCACTTCAAAGCTTATTGCAATTGAATTCTTTGATGTGTCCAAATTGTTTATGTGTAACATGAAGTACTATAGATTAATATCATTAATCTTTATTTTATATCATATTGTAGTGTATACACACAATGTCTCTTGCACTAAAATTCACAATTTACAACCATTTACATCAATAAAGTTCAATTATTCTAGTGCGTACCATGGCTATAAAGGTAATGCCTTAAGAAAAGTATTACATTGTATATATTAATTTGCTTTGTTAGATTACAATATACGTTCTGGAAAGCAATTGAAGGAAATTGATTTGAGTACCAACTCCAAAGCACTGACTGAACAAAAGCAGCGAGATTCGCGTGGTGTATCAAGCTCTAATCGACATCTTAAACTAGGTAACTGCAATAAGAAAACTACAAGTAATTATTAACATATATCAATATATTAATAATCCTCAGGTGATGCTCACCAAGTTGCAAACTATTTTCTCACTGGAGGACCATTAAAAGGTCATGCACATTTCGTAAGAGATTGTGATTCAAATAATGATGACAATGATACAGAAAAAACAAGTAATCCTACTATTAAGACTAATACAGATTTACTTATAAATGAACAGGATTCAAACACAACTTCATCCGATTCTATTGTTGGGGCTCCTTTACCACATATTCCTCTACCACATATTCCTCCACCACATATTCCTCCAGTACCACATATTCCTCCACTACCTATTCCTCCGCATTTGAATTCCATTTTACATCCAGCTTTAAATACAATAAGTAGATTACCACATTTGCTAGGGAATAATTTTTTACAATCTGTATTACACCCTGATTTACATCCACATATCAATACATTACATGATATTCCTAGTACATTAGTAAAAACAGTTAGTGCGCCAGTAAGTGAGTTAATAAATGCCAGATCAGAGCTCCAAGATATGTTGCACCCAAATGGATCGTTTCTTAGAAGTATCAATGAAGTAAGTAATACGAAATATAATGTAATGTAATTCATATATTTTTGTAATTCTATTTCATACTTACATTTAATAAATTTGAGGCACGAGAAAATAGAAAAGCAAGGAAAAATCTTAAGAACAATTTAATGTTTCCAATTGGACAACCACCTATTGTAGGATTAGCTCAACCAAATTCCGACAAGAATGTACGTACTACTTTGCTACAAGCGCTATTAAACTTGGGAAAATTCTATCATATGTATATTAAATTTATAGGTTCCACTATCGAGTATGATCGAACCACATCTTCCAATATCTCATCCTCCTCCTAGTGGTTATATAGTGCACTATGTACCACACAATACAGAAACAGCATTACAATCTCCAACTGGTTCATCGAAGTAATTACCTTCGAATTCTGAGAATAATAATTTGAATATTCAAAACGATCGAACAAATTCCTTCAATAGTAAAGTACCAAGATGTAAATGAAAACAAACAATTAACACGACTATCAGGATTACAAAATAATGATGAATAATAAAAGAATTTAACAAAAGTTTTAAAATATTTGTATGTATGAATGCATTCAGTTTAAAACTTCCCTTTAAAAGGTTTGTACAATTTGTAATATAATATTTTTGTACGTGAGAATAATTCTCATTTCAACACAAAAATATACATAAGTAACAAATATTTTTATGTTCTAGTGATATTATATATCTTTATCATCTTCTCCCCTTTCCTTTTCCTTTCTTTGACGATGAACTTGATGGCTGAGAAGATTGTTCACCACTGGATTGCTTTCCTTGTCGAGTTTTTAACTTTGGAATGGTCGTGCCCACATATGCCAAAACCGAATCTCTAGTGGGAAATTCTGGTTTCACAGGAGTACCATCGTCATTTTTGAGTTGTACGCGAATACGTCCGCGAAATAATAATTCTTTGCTACGTTCTCGTGGATGTCGTTTGTTTTCTACTCCAACGTTGAAACCAGCTGCTACCAAAACATCACGAATTTCTTGATATGTTGGATTTTCGACACATTTGTCTTTTGGAAGTTTCCGACCCCCTGCTAGAGTTCTCTTACTATTTAGGTATACCGGATAGATACAAATCCATCTACAACAAATTATTATACAGCTGTCAGTTTCACGTCAGAGAGGTTATGCAGCTGATCGTACTCGTATACATATATAATAAATAAAGTATATTAACATAAATTCAGTTATTTAAATATTTCTATAAAAAATAAAATATCAAGTGATACGATAAATACTTTAATGCCTTAATAAATATACCTTTCACGGTCACTGTGTTTCTTTAATGGGTTCCATGCGAGCGCCATATTTGATGTTATCGATAGTTTCATGAAATAATCGGTACTATTAATTCAAACCCTAATTTTTACGAAATAAAATAAATATTTAGTATAAAGTACTAAATAACAAGAATATTAATATATAATGAGAATAAGATTAAGTGTATCAAAAAGAAAAAACAAAAAATAAATCAACGTGGGCTCGTCCGGGATTTGAACCCGGGACCTCTCGCACCCGAAGCGAGAATCATACCCCTAGACCAACGAGCCATGTAACAATTACGTCTTGATATATTAATAATAAGTAAATAGAATTAGTTAATATTAAAATATATTTAAAAATGTTAAAAAATTATGTAACTACTTCTGTATAAACATTCTCGTTAATAATTCGTGTAGAGAAGATCACTTTTGAAATAATTTACATAATAAAATACTAACTGAATATGATACACAATATAGTATAATTCTCAAAGAGCGATACCTTATCAGTATATGGAAATTATGAATAATTAAGAAATATTTAAACTCCAATGTTTTATTCCTGAATGGATGATAAATATCGCTCATTACTCAATGTTTACCACTTTGAACTATGACCACATTGATCGGTTTTCGGATTTCGATTTCCATTTATCCCCATTAGATTTCGTGAATTCCGATTTCATATTTGCTAAACAACATTTACGTATCAGTGCAAATTCCATTCGGCGAAAATGTAACAATATTTCCGTGATATATGTGTATTCGTAACTTTATACAATTCTTACATAATATTCCTAAACGATATCTTTCATTATATATGTACGTGAATGTACTTGGTAAAAAAAAAAAAAAAAAAATATGAGGTCCATTAATAGAAATACTACAGTAATTAGTGTGTGCAAAATATTAATGCTACATGAAAGGAGGAACTAGCTGTCCGCAAGCAGTTTCAACTTTCACTGTACTGATTACGTGATTAATAAGCAATTATCCCATATAATGGTGAAAGTATACTCTGCATGGTTTACTTTCGCATAGATAGCAAAAGATAATAAGATGATTGTGCGAATACATACATGATTCTTCATTTACAGCGACTGAAAGTGGAAGGAGTACGCTGATGAAAGGAAGAGAATTAGGTCACACGGAACATAAGTACGCATATTTCAAATATTTCTAGAGAGAAACAATGAAATAAGTAAATAAATTGTAGTGGAATGAATGATGTACAGCAAGCTATATGAATAATGTATAATAACAAAAGTAAAAACCACATAAACTTTCTCGAATACTTGTCTGTTTAACCAGTAGTTATAATTATACTTCCTCCATTGTTAATGTTCTAAATTTTTCCCATCCTAAAATAAAAATTTGGCTACTTGCCTGTACGTGCCAATACATCGCTGTCAATTTCTAATTGATAATTAAATTTAAATTTGCGTTGCATTTTTGCATAACTTTTTCTTTTTGTGAAAAGAATATAATAGTTATCAATTAATGATCGATTAATAATAATTGTAACAGTGTTTAAATATTTAAAGAAATTTAAAAAATTCACTTCTATAAAAAAGAAATGAAAACAATATTTCTCAGAGTGGAATTGTTTTTCGATATGCAGAAAGAAATGAAGGTTCTCGTTGAAATCGGTATGTGTCACATTTGAGACGTTTGCATCAAAAACTAAAAAAGGATGGAATGCTTCAAGTAGGTCAATTAATTGCACCGAAGCATCATAGATTTTCTTTAATTTATTTGATTATAGGTCAGTATGTCCAGAAACTACAGATCCCGAGGACAACGACGAAAGTTCGTCAGAGTGAGTACATAATTAATTCGTATAAGCGCGAGCAATCCTACGATCTTGATTTAATATTTTACTATTTCGTTAATATAATACTTACATATGTTTGTTTGCACAGAAGATTATAAAGCTTGATAATATGTTTATATGCATTTTATAGTTCGTGTCGAGCAATAATCCAACCAATTAATATTTTCCTGTAAAAATAATGTCAGGCTGCTGTGTCAAACGATATTCGTTACAGTTGTTATTACATTTCGATTTCTCACCTTTACATTTGCCTGCGATAGAAAACTTGCAACCGATAACTCATAATGGAAGATCCTAGTATCGCAAAGTGTATCATTAATAACTTGTTGACAACAAGAAACATATAGTATCTTCATGTAAAGATCGCAATGTTTTCTTACTACCTTATCACTTAAAAGGTACATATATCTATTGATTTTGAAGTTTCTTCGTGTTTAAACATCGCAATCTGCATTTTTAATAATTATCTATTCGAAGATCTTAAAATCTCTACTTATAAATTCTACATTTATAGATTTTACTTATAAATTTTTCATTTCAATGACATTTGAATATTCAATTTAATGCGTTCTTTATATAATATTCCGTCACATAAACGTACAAAGTACAGAATCGTATTTCTTATCCACGATGGAAAGTGGAATCGCTTACGTATGTGTATAATTACAATTTTATCATTTTCTGGTCTTTCTCAACGGTATACGCAAATAATTCAGATATATTATCATCGAAAGGAATAAAGAATAACGATGATCCGAAAATTAACGAAGTAAATGTTTATACCCTCTACCCGACATGTGTCCATTGCGAGAAATAAGAATTTCACGCTTTATCGATCCAACTGCACGAATTATAAAAACGTGTTATTACAATCCTTTCGCCATTACATATAATACCGTTTGAATTTCTATAAATTTATATCGGTATCTTAAATTATCGAGTTATTATTTAGAACGTAAGAAACAGCAATTTAATGATTTGCTACGGTAGATTTCGTAACAGGTGGAAATTTCATATCCTTCGAGCCTGGATCAATCTTAAAAAAACTTAGCGACCTTAAGACCAATTTCTATGATGACGAAGTTGCAATAATCGAGCAAGCGCACACAGGTTGCTTTAGCTACATGCTCGAATGTACGTCAGTCACGTTTGCGATCTATCCGTGCTTGGTGGGATCGATTTCACCGAACAAAATTGATTTCAAAAGAAAACGTTCATCATTTTCTACGCGACAAAAACAGACAGTGTTCATTGTCAAGTGAACTATCGTTCCCTCTAAATTATGATCAATCGTTATTCTTGAGTTTCATCAAGTTTCGTCATAAAATTTGAATCGTATTAATCACCAATGGGAACCTTGCATTCGAAGGATATGCGTGATGGAGTACGTCGCAGAATGTGAGTGATGAGATATTATATTCTTGAGAATGTTGAGTTATTCAGTTGCGAAAAACCAGATGTTGACGAATATATAATATGTTATTTAATGACAGGATGTTTTTTCCAGCGGTAGAAATGCCGTCCGGTAATGGCGAAAAGAATGTTGGTATATACGTATGTTCGATTATGATAATAAACCGTAGTCGCATCGTATGAGTGAATTAAGTATGGGAAGCATTTATATCACTAATCCTCCATCGGTGGGAAAATTAGTGATAAATAAAGCCGTTCCGCTGGACATAATTCGAGACAAAACAAAGATATGCAAAACATTGATTGCACATTGTTTTCGCTGTATGTCTACAAGAGATATTGTTGCATTTGTGATTGCTAAGTCATATAAATTTTAATCGGTTCATTTATTCTCATATCGAATTAAAAAAGAAACTTAATACGGAGGAAAGTGTGGATATCAAAAATAAACCATCGAAACAGAAAGTAATGTAAAACACGAGTCTTATATTTTTGCTCTGTAAATAAATAAATGATACGGATATTATCGGATGTCGAAGCAATTAAATGAATTCTGAGATAATGATTCCTTCAAAACATTGATGTGTCACGATATTTTATTATTTTATAATTTACCGCTTATGGAAGTCTACAGAAACGTTCGCTGATCACGCTTATTTTTATTGTCACATGTGCATCTTTTGTTTTATCATGAGGTTTTACGAGTTCTCTCTTATCGGTACACGCGAGCAATTATTACGTTTAATATCACTCGCGTGATAATGATGTTTCATCAGTTTCAAAAAATGTATAAATACTTTACGTAAACATTAGATTTTGCAATTGTGACTTGTGGGCTGAAATTTTCCAATATGCTAAATATTTCAATGACATGTTATGCGATGGCAGGTTACCGACCTACGTCGTACATGTGTGTACAACTGAAATTAGTATTTGGTCAATTACTATAACGTAAAAAGTCAAATAAGTATGCTATCAATTTCGTTTTTACTCTTTACAATAGAGACATTTATGAATTGAAAATCAAAACGTGAGAAATATCATGATGAAAGCATACATAACATTGTCTATAATTTCATAACACATCGTCAGTTCGCTAGAAATATTATCTTTAATAGAGGAACACAAATTTATATAAGATCGTAAAATACAAAAGATAACATATATACGTATACTAAAATTTTTTGAAATTAAAATAAATGGATAAAAATATATAAGGTACAATCACATAAAATCACATGCCAATTCTGATACAGTCGTTATATAAGAAAATATCTTTTTTTATTTCAAAACATCAATGGCCAGTCATACGATGTAATGTAGATAGATTTTTGAGCCAATGACAATTTTTTAAGATAAATATTTACAAAAATGGAACTTTCATATTCTTGCCTGATGATCACGTGACATGCATATATACTATTAAGTTATCAATATAGCGCGAAGGTTATACGAGTAGTGCGGTCCAACCTCATTCGTAGCAATCGATACAACAGTTTATCGAAAGATGTTTGATCGAATGAGTGGCAATTCATACGGAAATTTCGAGTATGTCGTGGAAGCATTTGCTCAGGCGGTTAGAATGTCAATTTCCTAGTTTTTCTCGTCAGTCGAGTAACTTACGTTATGCGACTCGAAACCTTGAACCAGAGTGTAGACACATTCAGATTAACAACAGGTAAAAATCAACATTTTGAATGTTTAACCTACTACATAAGTCTATATAGTTGTGGTTATTACTATTATTATTACTATTATTATTACCATTAAATATTGTACTATATACAAATCTTTAACAAAGTAATTTGTCAGGCGCATGCGTATTTTAAATATCGCAAAAAATGGTTTAGATGTGTACTAAATACGATAGTTTACTCTTTAATCTCTGCATTGATTTACGCCATTTAATATTGAAATTAATTATTTAACTTCATAGGATATGTACATAATTATTGTCTTTATTCCAGTATTTTCAGTGTCGGGAATTATACGGGAATAGTGGGGAAAAAGTGTTCTTTGGTTTCTAGAACCATAGTGGTCGGAGATTTTGGACAGTTGTGTAACGTATACTTTTGTGAACGCGGATTATTTGATAGTACGTAAATATGGTGATAATGTAAAAATGTTCCGTTCGAAACCTAAGCAAAAGGTATTTAGTAATATGTATTTAGTGTAGAATTTTTTGTTATTGCTCCATTTATTTAAGTAAATATCATGTAACTAATGTTTATACAATCTGGTTCAATTTGTTTCGCTATAACAATATTTTCTCTATTCTAAGATATTCCTAATATGTTTATTATAATTGTTATAATTTGCAGTAGATATAGACATTACAATTACTTAATTTTTCTATTAGATATCTATGATGTAATTCATGGCCAGCAAATACAACGCGAACAATTTTCGTTCGATGGGCGAAGTCGCGCGACTGCGCGATAGCCGCGATTGCGCTAAACTAGTTATATGTTCAGTGACGTAGCAAGTGTACCGTGTTCATGTATACTCTGTTCATGTATACACCCATTTTCCTATCTCGACCAAGTTCCAACAAAACAGACACAATCTGATAGCAAAAACCGCATCTGTGATCAACAATTTATATTTAAGCGAAAATAAATAAAAATTCCTAGAAAGAAGAACTTTATTGCACTATACCGACGATTCGCCCCTACGATAAACTCTCGATGAAAAACTTATCATTGCCCGACAGTAAACACTCATTACTCCACAAAATCGTATTAATAAGTTGAATTACGAATGCAATTTCGAAATAAAAAAGAGGCGCAATCAGATTCGATTATTGGCTCATGTGATAGATACGTGACTGAGGTTCACTCCCCGCACCCTAACCTCACCTCGTCGCAACGCTACTCTCTTCTACTGGTTGTACCCAGTAGTTCTACCGTACCGACATCCCTCCTCAATCAGCTTTAAACTACGCTCGTTATTTCCAGGCTCCAAAGCTCCAGTACTCATTTAGAGTGTGACAGTAAATCTTCGACGATGTCGAGCCTTCAAAGGGATCAACTTGGCCAGCGGGGACAGGGCGATGTCGTCTGTTCTAGTTTATTACGTGGTATTGATCATCTAAAAAATCCCCAGTTGAATAAGGTAAGCTAACGTTATGTGTTGCAATTTAACATATAATAGCGGTTTACGATGCCGACAGAATCGCTGACAGTTTGACATCTAATATCGTGTTTCGTGCTTTTTGAATACACTTCATTGAAAAGAAGAAACATACATTATATATTATATAGATTGTGGATTTCTATGCATTTGGGTCATATTTAATGTAGAGTACTCGTTATAATTTGTAATTTTTATAGTAAAGATAGTATTAATCTTTATTTATGTTTATGAATTCGCATAACGATTTGAGATTACATCTTATTAGCGTGTGATAATTATAAAGAGGAGAAAAAGTGACAACTGACTATTCATTATTGTTTTTCTATCGAACCAAAAACTTTCCTATGTTAATCCGCGAAAATAACCTGTACGTTGTAGCTGTTTTTTGGCGCGAAATTTGCATTTCATATTTGCACCTTTAACAGTCATCGCTTTGTTGGACAGTAGCGGAAAACTTTCTGTTGTTTTATTCAATGTGTGCGTATATTTTACTTCTATAACGTCGTGTAACTTTGATTATTATATCAGTTATATCGTGATCGTTTGCTTTTTAACAAAATCTGTGAAAATTACAAATTCATTGTTCATATACACATATCTGGAGGTTGATGCATAATTGCATAAATTTAAATAATACGTAACATAATAAATAACATAATGACGTAGACATTTCTTTATACTCAGGACAGAAAATTCGGGTTACATAGAACTAGTAAGTGGTTTAGTAATTTATGAATGAAAAGATCTTCAGTTAATTCTTATTCTGTTGTACTATGAATGACCCATGAAGTTTCGTACATATCGTCACTTTGTGATGAAACTTTAACACAGCTTATAAGATATTTTTCACTATTTCGCAATTTGGTCTTTATCAAACATTTGTATATTTTGTGACAGCGAATTGTAATTTTACATTATTATTTTATTACTTTAATTATTACCATATACTTTCATTAAGTTTATGTTACTTTTATATTACTCGTTATTTAATTTTAACACATTAATATCGGAAATGAAATTATAATTACACTTTGATATTTTGAAGAAGAATTTTACCTTTAGCTAATAAGAATCGTGCAGAAATATAGATACACGGAGGTGCATAAAATGAAAGAATGTGAGTATGGAAGAATTATTAATTAATATTTAGAATATTTAGAATGAAAATATTCGTTAGGAGGATAATTATGCGGTTACGTTCAATAGGTCACGTAGCCGATGCGATTCCATGAAATTCACTTTCACGGCACATACTTAAGAAACGGAACAAGCGGTGGTATGACAACCTGAAAATGATGAAACGGACGCTTCTTACGTATATGATAAAACGCCGTTATCTTTATTACACTTTTTATACATGACTTTATGTTCGTATAGTACCCGTTCATCTAAATTAATCCATATCTATAGAAAGACGCCAACAAATTCAATTAAACGTTTAAAAAACAGTTGACGAATACAGGAAAAAATACGTGTAACTCCTTTTCACAAATTTACAGATATAGCTATATAAGTAAATATTATTTTGGATACTAGTTTCACGATTAATGGCTAAAAGTCGAGGAAATATGTTATATAAATAAAATTTCTCGAGTTATAAAAATCTCGAAGTAGCAAAAATCAGAGAATGAAAATGAGAATCTTACCTAAGCTTAAGCACTGTGAGTATTTTGCAACTACGATGTTGCAAATTATACGAAACTGATTCTTAAACTTTGAAACGTGTTTAAAAATGAGGCGTAATTCGTAGTAGTATTGACCAAACTAAAATAATTTTCTGCGTGACTGTGCAAATTGTACTGTACGTCGCTGTTCCGGAAACATTCGCTTGCGATTACGAAATTTACTGGGAATTTCATGGTTAACAGCCGTTCTTCGAAGGTTACCGTTTATGGAGTAACACGTATCTTCCTATGGAAATTCAAGACCTACGATATTTTCTTCTCTGTCATTCAGCTGTGTCTTTTTTCCGCAACTTGTAAATCTCTTATTGTTTTGTACAATATCTGAGTAATCAATAGCGAATTTAAGTCTATATAATAGACGACTGCGTTCCATTTTGTGAAAGGTATAATTCAATATCTACGTGTCGAGTAAAAAGATCAGTAGGTTTTTAATGCAATGTGACGATCAGAAATGATGAAATTTTCATGAAACGACAAATATTTTGTTAGAAACCTAGCCAGTTAGAAATAATTATTTTAGTATTTAACTTGGATTTATTAGTGTAATGAAAGAGCAGGAATGGCTGGGTTATAAAAAAAAGACAAGAGTGGTTCCACTATAAATAGTTCCAGTGTCTAGTGGGCTAAGGATCAAAAAGTTACACACGAACAACTTTACCAATCTAAAATCACTTTTTAAACATCTGATATTTACTAGTTTAAAACTAGTTTTAAAGTACGCTCTATTAACTCTTTATAGTCGAATGTTCTTTTACCTATAGAAGTTAAACGCAATTTCTTGTCTGGAAAGTATGACGGATATTAATTGACATAAATAGCAAGTAACGATATAATGATAGGATGTAATAAGAAGAGAGATAAGATTCATACAATGTTGATATACAGATATAAAACTCGAAGTTGTATGACATCAGATACGATTAAGAATGAAACATTGTAAATAACTAATCGAACTGGGTGGGTCGTACTTGATGATACAAATAAAAAGGAAATTTCTATGAAAGTCACAAGAAGCATTATCTTGAGAGTTTATTTTTCAGAGAAATTAATTTCGAAAATTTAATCACTGTATGTATACTCTTAGCTGCAGTATTTGATTCTCGATCTTAAAGGTTTAACTTTCAAAGAATTAAAGATATAAACTTTGTTAAACTCCAAAGTATAAATCTATACAGACTATATATTATTCTAATATTAGAGTGTATTGTCTGAATATTAATTTCTTATACTGACTGATAATTTATCTATCAGCTTAAATGTTTGTTCGCCTTTGATGTAACAAAAATTTAAATATAGTCACTCCAAGATTTACATATATATATATACATTGTGTGAATTCTTCGACGATTAAACTTCTACGTAGTTTTCATCCACTCACATTCAAAGACAATGTCAATAGCTGGCAGTGATAAAATTCCACGAATAAATCTCTTAATACCTACGATTTATTGCCCTTGACCATTGCCTCAAATATAAAATAAATTTGCTCTGTTATTTATCCGAGAATGAACTCGAGCAAACATTCGTACTATCGAAGAGCTGGAAAACTCCAGTCGACGATATCTTACAATACTACCTCCCCTCGTTCCCCTACCCTTTTTTTGTGCAATTATGCAAAAATTGCACACATCACGCGACTATTGAAACAAGCTGTCACGAATCAGCTGATAGGAATAATTATATATCGACGATGGTATTGTTTCATATTTATATGCTATTGTTTCTTTGTCAGGCTCGAGATACCTAGGTAATTTGCGAATTTAGATATTCCAGGGATTTACTATTATTTAATTGAACATTGATTTCATTTAATTTCGAAGCAGATTAAATATTAAATACAAAGAAGCCTCGACTGAGATATTCACTCATCGAGACAATCGCGTTCACATTAAATATTCGATGTTTTCTTATTATTTAGAATTGTTCAAATATCAAACGTTACGTGAAATATGTAAAAATATCTTTGTCGTAGGAATGTCAATAATTTGGTTCAAATATTGAAAAATTTAGCAGCCTCAGTTATTTTCAATTAAGAAACGACCGGTAAAATGGAATATTCTTATAAAAAATTCACATAAATTTTTACACGATTTATAGTTACAACGACCGATCGTTCTTTTATATTATTATATTATTATTCTCATATTAATTTTAGATTACGTATTATGTATCATCCATGTACTAGTATCCTAATATTTACGAATTAATATTTGGAAAGTAAAGAAGTACAGAGATAGTTAAATAGATAAATAAATATATATCGTACACTATTAGTTAACATTTACACGAGTTTAGTATACTACGCCCTTGCAACAAGGGCGCACCTAGATTATGCGTTGGATACGCATTGGAGCAAGTATTATGATTCTTGCGGTAGGTCGTGACTCGTTTCGTAACCAAAGACTTGCAGAGTTGCGTATCGATCGTTTGTTAGCCGGTACAACTCCTGGCAACCGTTTCCATCGTGGATTTGTTAGTCATGGGACTCGAGGATCCCGTGGATAGCTCGTAGGAACAATGGACACGGATTGGTGGGACCTCGTGCCAGACTTTCACAGAACCGCGCGTATTCCTGAACCTCTGCTTGCTCTGGATGGAAGGGTATTTGTCATCTATTGCCAATTATCCTATTTTATTCTGCAATTTTTATTCAATTGTTCGCTCGTTTTATCACGTTCGTGTTTTTAATTTATCGAATTTATCTGAAGCCTTCTGTTCGTCTAATATTCATTCGATAATCGACAGATTTCAACGAAACTAGATAGGATTCTTTCTCTTCTTTCGCCACAATACCTGTTTACCGATATTCGAATCCATCGTCGAGGCAACGTTTCGTGGTGTTCTTATGACATAAGCAATTTCATTGCTTCACTAATTCCAGCAATAAATAGAGCAACTCAGATCCTTAGATTTAGTAATTCGTGATGTACTTTCAATAGCCATCTGATTTGAATGTACTGTGTTTTCACCAAGTCGAACAATGCGATCGATCGACAAGGTATTAACGGTCATTCTCTTTTGGAAAATATTTCGATTTTTCATCAAACTTTGCATCGGCATAGTCAACCATCGCGAAGCTGAACATTTTGCCTCTAAGTGTTGTCGTTGCGTACACAAAGTATTCTGTAGACACTTTCCAACT